AAGAGCAGTTTTGAGAGCTTTAGTGTTATGGAGGCAGCAATGGATCACTGATCCATGGTAGTCTTCTGGACAGTCTATGGCAGGGGTAGGCAACCTCGGCTCTTTTATGACTCATGGACTTCAACTCGAGGTTGCCTGCCTCTGGTCTATGGAGATTAAGTGGGGGTAAAGTGTTTTGGTGGTTCTGTTCCTTTCTCTAGTAGTTGGATCCAATCAGTGTTGGCAAAGCGAAGAGATCAAGTCAGAGATTCTTGACATGTGGGGTGCCTTGACACTTTCTCGTCCTGTTTATTGTTGTCCTTGGATGAGAGCATCTATAGGCTTGAGGTCAGGTATCATGCATCTCAACGTTTGGGCTGACTAAGTGATGTCAAACTCTTGTCCCGTTGGCTGGGGCTATACAGGTTTGAACAGAGAGAAATAGGCTGAGGTCAACCCTGGCAAGATGGAGAGATTGTGAGTGTTTGAACCATCCAGGTCTTTTAGGACTTCCAGCTCCTGTTCTTGGAGCACGTGACAAATTTGATTAGGAAGGACTTCACACCACAATTTTGCAGGAAGTGCTTCAGATGTGCTTTGATTTCCTTGTATTTGGGATGTTGCATATACTGTACAAGGGATGCCTTTGAAGATCACTCAGATGCTGCAACTGGTACAGAAATAAATTGCCTGGGCAGTTATAGCACACCATGCTTGATCCATGTAACATCTCTACAAGCTACAGTGGTTACCAGTAAATTTCCAGGTGCGGTTCAAGGCTTTGATTATCCTCTATAAATCCTTCATAGTGCAGAGCCCGCCTATGGAGGGAATCACTTGTCTTCTGTAATTTAAAGATGCTGTAATGACAATGATAATGACAATGTTTTGCCATTGTCTATGTTTTATTGTTTTATTTTGTAACCACCCAGCATTCTGATGACGTCAGGTAACCTATGTTCATGATTGTCCAAGAATCGTTGGGAAATGCATTTCTCTGCACTTGGGAAAAAGTTCAGAGAAGAGCAACTAAGATGATTAAAGGCCTGGAGACTAAATCATATGAAGAATGGTTGCAAGAATTGGGTATGGCTAGTATAGAGAAAAGAAGGATTGGGGTGACATGATAGCAGTATTCCAATATTGTAGGGGCTGCCACAAAGAAGACGGGGTCAACGTATTTTCCAAAGCACCAGAGGGAAGGACATGAGAAACAATGGATGGAAACTACTCAAGGAGAGAAGCAACCTAGTATTAAGGAGAAACTTCCTAACAGTGAGAATAATTAATCAGTGGAATTGCCTGCCTCCAGAAGTTGTGAGTGTTCCAACACTGGAGGTTTTTAAGAAGAGACTGGACAGCCACTTGTCTGAAATAGTATAGGGTCTCCTGCTTGAACAAGGGGTTGAACTAGATCTACAACAATGTTTCTCAACCTTGACAATTTTAAGGCATGTGGACTTCAACTCCCAGAATTCCACAGCCAGCAACACTGGCTGTGGAATTCTGGGAGTTGAAGTCCACATGCCTTAAAATTGTCAAGGTTGAGAAACACTGATCTACAAGCTCTATTCTGAGTTAAATGGCCAATCCTGGAAGCTAAATACCAAATAGCAAGTTGAGATCGGAAATGCTACCTGTTCTACACACTGAGCCAGCTAGATTTAATGAAACTCACTGTGTGGCTAGGACAGTTGTGCCAGAAGGCGGGTTTTAAATTTGTTAACACCTGGGAATGATTTGGGACTGTAATGGAGTGTCAGAACAACCTTGGACGAGTGGGAGGGAATGCTGTCTAGGGAATGGTCAGATAAGAAAAACGGCATGGCCCACAGCTGCATTATGGGAACAGAAAAAAAAAATTTTTTTGAGAAAGGATCCTCCCTAACTTACCACGTGATAAATGAGTGGCTGGAGATTTTTTACTTTCAGACTTTTTGTTAACGCAGCCCCACCATAGAATAGAATTCGTTCATCTTGTCATGTTTCCTATTGAGTCTGCTTGGGACAACCTAACTTTTGACAAGGTGGACAGATGTCATTTGAACTAAAGTAGAACAAGAAGGTAGGCAAAATAGCTTTTAAACTAATCCTTGGGGAAAGCAGCTGATTTGGAAGAATCGTGATATTTTAACAAATGCTAAAGGAATAAGAACTGTCTTGGGGAAGTGTTTGGTTGTTTAAGTAAAAAAAAAAAATGAGAAGAAGGAGGGTATGAAAAACGATTCATACCGACATTTGAAAAAGAACAGGGTATATAATTGGCATATAGCCAATGCCAGAAGTCCTTTTTACTTATTAAAGGGGGAATAAGAGAGCTTGTGAAGAAGAAAAGAATTAAAAGTGGTGAAAAGGAGGGAAGCCATGAGATCCTGTCATTTATAGCAAGGGAGGAAGAATGGACTGGGAGAAGTGTTGCTTTTATATCAAGGAGACCATAAAATTCCTCCATAAAATAATTATGGGTGGCAACATTTACTCCTAGATGTAAAATACATCTCGGGAAATGATGAGCCGAGAAAAATACTGAGGGTGATTTTGTTGAGTTTCAAAAGAGAGGAATGCTTAGAAGTTCTTATTGTGGACCAATAAGCTGATGAAAAAGAGATGTACAGAAAAGATCAAGAGGTCTGTAGCTCTCTGCAGTCCATGGAAATGATTTAAAACCAAAATAATTGATGCTAGAATTCCAAAATGTAAGAAAAGCTTAATTGAATCAAGGAAGGGCCCTTGTAGTAGTCTTTAAAAAAAATTAAGGCAGGTGTCTTAAATTTTAATTGAAAAATTAAAACTGCCCTAATGAGAAGAACAAAATGGAGGAAGGACTCTGGTAGAAAAGTGAAAGTCAGTAAAAAGAAAGAAGGAAGGAAGGAAGGAAGGAAGGAATCAATCAATCAATCAATCAATCAATCACATGGTCCTGATTTCATATACTTGACACTCAAAAGACACATTTTAGAGAAAAGATAAAGAAAAAATAAGGGATATAAAAGAGTAGTCTTTCCTGATGGAAAATGAACATTGACCTAAATGACTTTGATCTGACCAGCAGTGGGATAAAAATGTAAAAAAAAAATACACATTGGGTATAAACACAGGGATCTTTGCCAAACCTTTTGGCTGTGGATTTCAATTGTCCCTGGAACATAGGAAGCTCAATATATTGCAAAAGACTAAATCCAGAGTCTAACCATTATAAACCTAGGACACTTAAGTTCTTCTCTCCTCCTCCTCCCTTCTCCAATGTTGGTCCTTCTAGTTCAGTAGTATTTCAATAACAGCTGCTTCCCAGGGATTTCTCCTAACCCATCTAAGAGGGTTGGACTAGAAGATCTCTAAGGTTCCTTCCAACTCTGTTATTCTGTTAACTGTTAACTTGCCCAATCTAATATTCCACTCCCCCCGCCCCGAGTTACATTAAACCACAAGTCCCATCATCTCCAACCATCGTAAGTTAGAAAATCAACAATTTTAAGCTTCAGCTTGAATCTATTTTTTAGATTTTTTAGATCAATCTTTGCATCCGTAGTGGCTGTGTTTCTAGCTATAAAAATGCACCTCCTGCTATTACTCTCTCCCCCTGCTACCACCAGAGGAAGTGGGTTGGGGGTTGGGGGGGGAGGAGAGTGGAGAATTTGTTTTGTTAAAAGTACCCGGGCAAATTGTCTGCAGAGTTTATCTGGCAAGAAGAAACATGAGAACCGTATCACTAACAATTGTTAGGGCGCTCTTCTGCAACGGCCATACAAGGAGACGTTTTATCAGATTTTTGCAAATGTTTAAAGGGCAGTTAATAATCAGGCTTGCATGAGCTTGGAGCCATCAAGGTAAAGAGAACACCAAGTATGGTTATGCTTTTTGGATCTTAAAGCGTCTGTGCGTTTGACAAATCTTGAGGGCTTCACTGAACTCAGCAGACCGCCAGCAAGGCCGTATGTTTTGAGAGAGAGCTATGCACAGTGTGTAATACATTTGTTAAAAATGTACTTAACGTTGTCTTGTTGAGCGTAGGCCTTGTACTCTTGGCCAAACGCGGAGGAACTCGGAGCGCACGTGTCTCCAGATACTTCACGTTTTGAGATTTGAGGATAATGTATACAAACCTACATCATTAACATTCTGTAACAGCCATCTTTTTTCTCTTTCTTCCCCCCACCCCTCCAACTGTTTTGTTGTTGCCTGGATAGAATTCTACCTTTGATTAACAAGATTTACATTTGAAACATTTATAAACAATCAAGATTCATTTGCTTTTCTTTTTCTTTTTTCTTTTCCTTTTATAAAAAAAAAAGTTTTGTAAACGTTCTGCCACCAAACAGACAAATACATTTGTTGCGATGTCTGGCTGAGGAATTCTGGGAGTTGAAGTCCACAAGTCATAAAAGGTCCAAGTTTGAAAACCCCTGCTCTAAGCATTAGTATATAGACCAGGGGTCTTCCAACTTGACCCTTTTATGACTTGTGGACTTCAACTCCCAGAATTCCTCAGCCAGCGTGCCTGGCGGAGGAATTCTTGGAGTTGAAGTCCAAAAGTCATAAAAGGGCCAAGTTTGAGGACCCCTGCTTATGAGTGTTGCAGCATTGCCATCATGGTCACGTAATCAAAGTCCAACCACTTGATAGCCAGCATGTGTTTATGATGGTTGCAGTATCCTGGGGTCATGTGATCACCATTTGCGACTTTTCAGATGGCTTTCGAAAAGCCAAGTGAATGGGGAAACCCAGATTTGCTTGAAGACTTCACGATTCACTAAACAACTGGTGATTTGCTTAACAACGGTGGCAAAAAAAAGTTGTAACGTCTTGTACGACTCACAATTGTCTTGCTCAGCAATAAAAATTCTGGTCTTAATTAATCAAGGAATCTCTCTATTGCCTCCTTAATCCTTGCCCCAATGGCTGGAACTATAAGCCAAAGAGAAGACTAGGGTATTTTAATCAGCTATCAATTGTTCTTATTATTATTAATAATCTTTTGTATTTGTTGGACTAATTTTTTTAATTTTTATTTTTCCCCTTAGCGTTCTGGGTCATGAAACTTAATCCACAGCAAGCTCCATTGTATGTGAGTAAACTTTTTTTTTTTCAATTTACATTTTCTATTTGGGGAGTTATGGCTTATCAGTCACCGAATCACATGTTTTTGGTTGGATAATTTTAATAATTAAAACCTGTGGTGTAATGGATGTAAGGGTATTGGCAAAATTTGTATTGCAGCTTGAGTGCTTGTGAGCAGGACCTAGGTGAGCAAAATAGTGAACTGCTCTCTTTGCAAACAGGAACTTGCTCTCCTCTTTCTTTGGAGCGCTCCTAGATACCCTGATGCAGGTAGACCTTTAACTTTATTGCCTTTCCAGCCACTATCTTAATTGTCTTCTGGGCACCAAAAAATAAGGGTTTGTTGGCCCTTCAAGGCAGGCTGGGTCAAGAAATAGGCACCACAGTGTTTCCAGAAATAGTACTTGATTATTGTGGGAGGTATGAATACAGTCATGAAAACCTGTTCACAACCTTCCCTGGCCCTTTTGGAGGACAACCCAGTCAAAAGAAGGGTTCTTCTGAGTCCTTTGTCATACTTCATGCTTTCTATTTTCTGATCAGTTGTTTTGCCTCCCCTACTTCCTTCTCAAGGACAGAGCTAAAATTCCTCTACAATTTTCCCCCTTGCTTTCCAAAAGGCCCAAATCTCATGAAATTTTGACAACCTCATCTCTAAGCGATCACATTTATAACCTGTTGATTTAACTACAGATTCCTGGTGATTTACAACACTAAAAACAGTATCTCTGCCCATCTACGTCTTCTCACAAACTGGGCATGTTCCAGATTGCCTCCTTGAAGCAATGATATTTGATGGGACCTGAAGCCTTCCTTTTTTCATTACATTGCCCATGCTTTAGAACAAGTCTCTTTCGCGTGCATACCTCCATCCCACAAAGATGATTCAGATGACCCCCCAACCTTGTTGACCTACATTTTAAGAGACCGAGTAAATGATTGGTGAACTCCAGTTATATGCTGTTGATATGTTGTCTTATGAGTTTTTTTTTGTTGTTGTTGTTGACAATGTATGGGTTCTATTTGCAATATGGGGTGGCATTCTTGATGTACTTTGCCCAAGAGCGATAATCCGTCTGAGTCATGGGTCAGTATATCTTTTAAATAAATACATAAATCAAACAACAGAAAAACTAAGATCTCCACAGAAAAGGTCAAACTTAATGGTTGAGTATCTGGATGTCTTTGATTGGAATACATTTGATTGGAATGTAGAAGAAAGGAACCTGCACTGCTTCTCTTTTGACATGGCCTTCCTTTATTAATCTCATTCGATAAAAATGAATGCTTTATAAGCTAGGCTTCTTTTGATCCTTTATTTATCTTGTGGCAAGACATAACCAAATGGAGAGGTGGGAGGCAAATATTTCTTGGATGACAAAGGAAGGCTCTATTTTTACAGCTAGGACTGCCTCAGCAAATGCCTGAAGGTGATTCTATAGGTAAATTGCAGATCTAGCTGCTCATCTGTCATCCTTTTTTGTATGAAAATATTTGGAAAGCAGAAGAGGCAATGCAGGAAGTCCAGGGATAATGGCAAGAGGGATTTGTGTGAATGGACGAGGGGAAAAAAAGGGGCCTTGCAGGTTTGAATCATTCTTTTCTTATCTTGGAGAATGAGATTGAGGGAGCTAGGTATGTCTAGACCAGTGGTTCTCAACCTGTGGGTCGGGACCCCATTTGGGGTCGAATGACCATTTCACGGGGGTCGCCAAACAAGGCTGTCCGCCATTTTTTCCCCCTTTTCTTTGGCCACACCTCTGGCACCCGGTGATGTATAAGTGGTTGGGGGTCACCACAACATGGAGAACTGTATTATGGGGTCAAGGCATTAGAAAGGTTGAGAACCACTGGTCTAGACTATCAAAGAGAAGGATTAGGGGGGACATAATAGCTGTTTTCCAGTGCTTGAGGGCCTGCCATAGAGAAGAGAGGGTTGACTTGTTCTCCAAAGCACCAAAGGGCAGGACAAGAAACAATGGCTCAAAGCTTGTTAAAGAGAGATCTGACCTAAAAATAAGGAGAAATTTCCTGAAAGTGAGAACAATTAACCAATGGAAGAGTTTGCTTGCTAGAGTTGTGGGTGCTTCATTGCTGGAGATTTTGAAAAATAGATAGAACAACCATTTGGTTTGGATGGGGAATTGGACTAGAAGACCTCCAGTCATATGATTCTATGTTCTATGTCAGGGGTCTTCAAACCTGGCCCTTTTATGACTTGTGGACTTCAACTCCCAGAATGTGCCTGGCTGAGTAATTCTGGGAGTTGAAGTCCACAAGTCATAATAGGACCAGGTTTGAAGACCCCTATTCTATGTAATGTACAATTAGATCTACCAATCAACAAACCCCAATCCTGCTCACCATTAGCTGAACTGGCAAGGGCATTTATAAGCTGGAAGACCACAGGTATCTCACCACCAGCTTTAAATACCAAGAGGGGTCAGTTCTAACCAAATAGCTCCGGAAGAAATCAATAATGCAATTTCATTGGTTTGAGTGGCGTATCATATTAACCCACAATGTGATTTTTTTTCCCCTTTGTTTTTCTTAGCCTATTGCAGCAGCCCAGGGCATTGTAGTTTATTTGATAAGCCATAATTAGGCACGTAGCATCAGACGAAACATGAACCTTGTCATGTCATTGATCTTTAGGAATTTTTAACTGAAGCTAAAATAGTTTGGCTTTCAAAATTTATACAGAGATGCTGATGGGATCTTCTTTTAACTCAACGAAGATAATAATCTCTTTAACCCCTCTGATAATAATCTCTTTAACCCCTCTAACCCCTGACTGCAAAATGAAGCTGCAGGGAACAACGGAAACTGTTTTTGCGTTGGTTTGCAGTGTGTGGAGTGAAAGCTTACCGACCTGTGTGATGTCTAGAAGAGAGGCAGTTTTGCTTTGACATCCCAGGATTCCTTTATCTAGAATCCTTGTAATTGACCGCAGCAATTACAATTAGCTTTCCAGAAGGTGTTGATGCTCCAATACTGGAAGTTTTAAAGAAGAGACTGGACAGCCATCTGTCTGAAATGGTGTAGGGTTTCCTGCCTGAGCAGGGGGTTGAACTAGATGACCTCCAAGGCCCCTTCCAACATTATTATTATTATTATTATTATCGATCATCGCACAGTCAGCCAGATGTTCAGACTGTATTTGGCATTTTGTCTACCTATCGAGTCCTTACCCAGGACCTGGGATAGGCAGATGTGGATGTTTGATGGTATTACAGGTATCGTCGCAGGATGGAAGCAGTTCTTCTTCTTCTTCTTCTTCTTCTTCTTCTTCTTCTTCTTCTTCTTCTTCTTCTTCTTCTTCTTCTTCTTTCTTCTTCTTCTTCTTCTCTTCCTCCTCCTCCTCCTCCTCCTCTTCTTCTTCTCTTCTCTTCTCTTCTTCCTCCTCCTCCTCCTCCTCCTCCTCCTCCTCCTCCTCCTCCTCCTCCTCCTCCTCCTCTCCTCCTCCTCCTCCTCCTCCTCCTCCTCCTCCTCCTCCTCCTCCTTCTTCTTCTTCTTCTTCTTCTTCTTCTTCTTCTTCTTCTTCTTCTTTTTTGGTTGCTGCATGGAAAGCTGACCCGCTCCATTGCTCAAGGCTAGAAAACCTCTGGATTGAACTGTTGAGCTTGTTACGTGTTTCTTTCAGGGGAATTTCGGGACCCAGTTCAGTTTTCATCTCTGCTTAACTTTTTCAGCTTTTCTCTCCTTTCTTTTTTCTCATTCTCAACCTTGGATGAGAGCAATGGAGTGCCACCCAGTGGCCTTTATTAAACCTGTCCTTCAGGTTTTAATTATGATTCCCCTCCCCCCCCACTTCTGTCCCTGTTTTCCCCGGCTTTGCTGGCTGAGGGATTCTGGGAGTTGAAGTCCACACATCTGCGAGTTGCCAAGGTTGAGAAAGACTGGTTTAGAAAACTTTGAAAGTCCCAAAGCTTCCCCATGAGAGGACAGTGGATTCTCCCCACCACCACCACCACCACCACCGCTATTCTTTTTGGTGTTTTAGAATAAGTTCCCCACTCAAAAAAAATAAATAAATACTTTTAGCTAGTTTACTTCATCAAAAGCTCAAGAAGGTAAGTCACATTCTGTGTGACTTCATTGCACTTCTTTTGAATCAAAAACAACAGGCCATTTTAGATACAGCAAACTCTTCCTACCAAGTTGGACGCTCTTAATAAATGTTGCCTCTGGCCGTTGCCTGCTTGTCAAAGTACCTGATGAAAGGTGTCAGAGAGGTTTTTGTGTACACCTTCTTGGAAAATTGTCCTTGAGTATCTGTGATACAGTTTCATAACCAGCTGTGAGGTGAAGGGTTGCCAACTGTCCCCAGTAACTTCACAGTTTGATATTAATCACCTAACGCTATCAAGCAGAATGAACGTGTTATGAGCAAGTGTTGACTATTTGTTTTCTGTTTGACATTCTACATTTAGTAATACTAATGAAAAAGCTTGCCCTTCAGTCTAAAACAAAACAGCCCAAGCCATTGTGTTGACGTGTAAGATTTCCTTAAATTAGTTGGAGATTGGAAATAGACTGACATTTCTCTTTAAGTGGTACAACATGTGTCAAACAACAACATTTTCCAGTTGCACGATCCTTGCATTATCCGTGCCTCACAAACGTGCTTGCTGGTAATTGGCTTTCTCTGAAGAGTTATGGAATTGAAAGAAAACTTTCCTCTTTCTTCTGATCCAGGAGAAGGTACTTCCAATTATATATAACTCCTAGTGTTGGGGACCCCTGGCGTAAAGGACTCTGTTGTTATACCCTATAACAATAGAGTTCCAACATTTCTCCCAGTGTCTTCCCTTGACATGTCCTGATGACCTTTCTACCAAAGAGAACTTAATTACTGATGGGCTGTGAATTGGATGGATGGACCTTTATATACCAGAAAGACGTTTTGGCATCAGTTCCATATTGATTCCCTAATACTGTAAGGGATGACCAGGCTGAGCCAGAGGGCAGGGTGAAATTCCTGGCTGGCTGAGGAATTCTGGGAGTTGAAGTCCACAAGTCTTAAAGTTGCCAAGTTTGAAGACCCCTGTTCTACGCCCCTGTAAGAGACCTAAGCCCACCCCCCTTTGAAGTCTGTTGTCTCTTATCTGGTGCCAATTCACCTTGACGGTTAGTAGATCAGATTCTTGTGTATAGATAGCATGAGATAAACTCATCATGCTTTTGAATTCTATCTTGGCTCCTGACGCTTTGCACCTGACAGGCTTTTCCTTTAATCAAAGGTTCAGAATTCCGTTGAGAGTCAGTTAGTTGAGATGGGCAGTTTAGAAACTTAATAAATAATTTAAAAAAAAGATTTAGAGGACAGGAATCAAATGAAAACCTGCTTATCCAACCAGCAGAAACCCTCTTGAAACCCCCATTTTCCCGCTGCCCCCAGCCCCTTTTAAAAATCCTTCCGCACCTCTCCAGACACACCTTTTCTGAAAGATTTGTGACTCGAAAGGAAAGCTGGCTGTTTTTTAGCGTCTGTCGAATGGCGGAAAACGATCTGTTTTCATTGGCCGCGGGGCGCCAAGCCAAGTCAACGTTAGTCAGTCCAAACGAGGAACAAAATTAACTTATACTTTTGTTTGCTTGTCTGGGCCAGAAACTCGCTTTGATCTCGGGAGCCTTTTTCCTCCAAATGAGACTTGGCAAGGCCAGCCAGTCATTTGTTAGCTGCTTTAAGTGAAGGGGGTTATAATAATCACCTTGTGCGGTAGTGATCTCTAACAGATGACATTATTTGGGTAATAATAAACCAGGAGAAGTAAACACGCTTGAATTAAATGGCTCTTTCAGAGCTCAAGGCAACCTTACTCTTGCGAATGGGAAAACTCTTCCTGGACAGCAAAAATTCCAGATTTGTTTAAACCGGGATGCTTGGGACAGTGATTCATAGATGAGCCCATGTTCCTAACAGGCTGATTGGGGGGTGGGAAATACAGATAGGCCTCAGGTTACGACCACAATGGAGCCCCAAATTTATGTTGCTCAGCAAGACATTTGTTAAGTGAGTTTTGCTCCATTTTACCACCCTTCTTGCCACAGTTGTTAAGTGAATCCCTGCAGTTGTTAAGCTAGTAACGGTTGTTAAGTGAATCTGGCTTCCCCCATGGACTTTGCTTGTCCGAAGGTCACAAAAGGGGATCACGTGACTCCGGGATGCTTCAACTGTCATAAGTACGAGTCAGTTGCCAAGCCTTTTCATTTTGATCACTTGACCATGGAGATGCTGCAACGGTCGCGTGAAAAACAGTCATGAGTCACTTTTTTCTGTGCCGTTGTGACTTTGAACGGTCACTAAAGGAACTGTTGTAAGTCGATTGGATTCAATCCTGTGTCATTTTGTAAAAAAAAAAAAAAAAAAAAATGAAACGAGGCATATTTTGTTAGCCTTTCCAATTGGGGAGGGTTTGGCAAAATCATTTACGGGAACGATGCAGAAATTGATCAGGTGTCAACGCTGCTAACATTGGATGTTCTTGCTTTAACAACATATGAAGATGCAGCCTTTTCCTTTCTTATGCTTTATTCTTAGAATTAGATGATGCTGGGGGAGGAATGTGCTGGGAGTTAGTTAGAAATAGCAATCTTGTACTAGTGTATGAAATAGGAGATGATAAGAATTGGCCGGATAGCAGAACAGGAGGGAAAGCCTGCATTTCAAACTAATTGGCGAATGTGATTTATGACTGTTAATTGGAGGAGGGACTTGTGCTTTGATACTATGTGCTCAGGGGAGGAGAATCTAGTTTTTGGCTTGACTGTGTTAGTGCCAATGCTATGCTACTCCCATAAAGATTCTTTAAGGTAAACAATGCCTGGAAGTTCTTTGAAGAGTTTCATCTGTGGAACCATGACATCAGGTAGAGATCCTGAGGGTGGGGTCAAATGCATCATCAGTCTGAAGTCCCTATGACCCGCAAAAGAGACCTGTCCAGCCTCCCTAAAAGTCCACTGATCTTTATCTGGTGCCAATTTGCCTTGACCAGGAGCTGGCTGGCTGGCTCAGGAATTCTGGGAGTTGAAGTCCACAGTCATAAAAGAGCCAAGATTGCCTACCCCTGGCCTTGACCATTAATAGATCTGATCTTTATATACAGGTAGTGCAGAATAAAATCGTAATGCGTTCTGAACTCTATCCAGGCTCCTGGTTTCTTGTCCCTGACATATGATTTTCTAATGATTCTGTTCCTGATTTTCACTTTTTTTTTTTTGCATCATGGTTGAAATTCATCTATGAGCTTGGGTGGCTGATCCCAATTCATGCACTTATTCTTGTGAGTGATCTCCTTGACGATTACTGTTTCTCCATGTGTGGCATTTGTGGCTCATGGATCAATCAATCATCTGCAGAGAAAAACAGTAATCAATAAACGGTGTCAAAATTTTTTATTCTGGTTTTGTTTCCTCTCTTGTCTGAAAGAAGCTTCTGTTTTTCTGCCTCTTTTTAAGGCTGAAGAGGCTCTGAAATTTTGGAAGTGGTTTATTAGCACAGTTCTCTCAATATATCTCTCTTTTATGCAACAATTAAGAACAGAGATAATCTTTTGCACAAGGAACGGGGTTTGGCCTCTGCAGGGAATATTACAATTTCTATTATTTTTCAGTTGTGTTTCAGAAGGCCAAATGAAATCCAATAAATTCAAGAATAAAAAAGATAAAAACCAACTGAAGCCATTAGCATATAAAGGTCTGGCTAAAGTGATGTCCCTTAATTGCTCTTTCAAAGACAAATATGCTTCTCTTTCTCTCCCTACCTCGCTCTTGTAAACCACTCTTAGTAAGACCTACATGCAGTTTTTTTCCCTTTTAGCACCAAACTTTTTAATTCATCCAATTTATCATAATAACATAGGCTATGTGACACATTATGGTTGGTTGCACAGTCACCCATATGTTTAGACTGGATTTGGAGTTTTTATCCACCTATCTCAAGGTCTGGGAAAAGAAGACTTTGTTTAAAGACATGAAGGATGACGTCACAGGATGTAAGCTGTACTAATGAAAGCTGCCTTTTGCAATTGACTGATGTTAATTTTGTCAACGCCCAATGGTGTTCAAGTAGGGCTCTAGATCTTTTTGGGATTGCACCCAGAGCTCCTATTACTAAATGGATGTTAAAATTTGGTTAAAATTAAAAGTTCCTATCTTTCTCTTTCCCTTTCAGGGTGACTGCATCATCACCATATTGCTAACTGAAGATGACCGCGTTGAAAGCGACGATGTAATTTTTTATCTCGTTTTCACTGGATCAGCCCTTCAACACTACACCAGCACTAGGAAGCTTGATTCAGGGAGACTGGAAACCATTGCTCCAGGTAAGCATAGACAGCATAAAACCTATCCATCCCTTCCTGCGGCTCTTACTGCATTGGGTGAAGTGTGCATCTGAATGAAGGTGAATGCAAAATTGGCACTCTCCCCATAGGAGCAGCATTGTGCCCAGGGCGTTGTATGAGCAAGTGTGGTTTGCTAGTGACCTGTGCTATAATTTGGGGAGAAAGGTGAGTAGAGGACAAGTACTGCCAGCAAATGACTTCTTTATCAGAAAAAAGGGGAGAGTAGAAAGTAGAAGTGAAAACCAGGGAGAGCTGTGCACTCATGTCAGAAGCACTGAGGCAATTCCAGTTTGAAAGGATTAGCCTGTGATATCACCATCGGGGACGCCCAGTTTGGGGCTCCTTTCATGCCACCAGCGGGAGCTGGAGTGAAGGATGGGAGCTCAACCCCACCCCACAGCAGCACTCGGGTCTCAAACACAAGCTTGCTAGCCTCCAACTTAGCATCCTAACTGCATGAGCTCCTATAGCATGGAGTTCACACAACAACCTTTAATCCAAAATCCAGATTAGTAAAACAGAGTTGTCTTTCTTTCTTTCTTTCTTTCTTTCTTTCTTTCTTTCTTTCTTTCTTTCTTTCTTTCTTTCTTTCTTTCTCTCTCTCTCTCTCTCCCTCCCTCCCTCTCTCCCTTCCTTTTTCCCATTGCAGAGTGTTGTCTGCTTTGGAAACATGCCTTATTAATTCTCTTTTGACTCCTAATAACAGACAATTCTTGATGTTTTGCTAGGCCTTTAGGAAACATAATTGTTAGCATTTATTTCATTTGCATTTGATGTGTCCATTTCAATGGATCATATTAAGGATAAATGTAAGGGTTTGTTTTGCAAACACCAAGAAGAGCTGGGTAGATGTTTCTGAAATGAAGGCTCTGCACAAAGTTTGCATTACCAAGAGCTGGATGTTGTCATTTCCTTTGCTCTGGATAATTTTGCTGCTTCAACTCATTGGAGAGGCAGGGAGTGGCGTCTCCACCCATTGTCCACTGGAAATTTTATTCAGTCATTTTTGCAGAGTGTCATGGGGTCAACCCCACCACCTCCTGATGGAACTGGGAAAGACTCTTTTCAAACAATGAAGAGCCATTTCCAGTCTGGGAAAACAATGCAGATGTTGATAGACCAGTGAACTGACTCATGATGAGACAAACTTTCTTATGTCCCTACACTTTTCAAATTAACAAGGGAGAAAAAAAACAGCTCATTTTTTAAAGCGAACGCCCTAGGAAAATCAACAGCCCAAGAAGAAATAAATGTCTTTTGACCCTCGTGCTCTCCTTTGACCTTTGCCAAGTCTTGAGAGTTTGAAGGACCCAATTGGGTCAGGAACTGCCCCCCTCCCCCCCCATTCTGTTGGCTTCCTTCCTTCTTTGGTCTCTTGACCTGATAATTGACTTGTGTCATGAAGGGCTGACGTTCGATCTTGAAGCAGTTTCGGTGACAACAATTAAAGTGACTCAGCCTTTTTTGAGTGCTACAGAATGAATAACCAGTGGGAGATGGACAGTAATGGAGATGAAGCCCTTTGCTGTCTGTCAGAGAAATGGTACTGATTGGATGATGCCAAAAATCTACAATGGAAACATAAATGTAAAAGCTGCTCAAGTGCTGTGTGTAAATATCGTTTCGTTCATGGTCTAATCAGGTCTCCAGTAGCCCATGGCCTCCCTGTTCTCCCAGGCTTCAGTTAAGTCTCCAGAGGCTAAGGTTAGACATCAGGAGCAAATTCATCCTAAGGGGTTTTGCTAATTTCAAATAATTCTCCAGAACTATTAGCTTTTTTATGTGTCTTATAGAGATCGTCGGGTTTTTTTTCTCCTTTAATAAAATACTCTTTGTAGCAGGCATCAAATAAGTAAACAAGTTGCTTGAAAGTAATAGTCATATGGCCTTGGCTTAATAAGACACTTCCTTAGGAAATATACCAAGTACTCTCCCTGTCAATATAATTCTCAATCCTCTTTTCAGATCCTTGTATGATTTTGGAGACTAAGTAATTTTTCTAAGGAATTTTACTGAGACCATGGAAGTCCAGGCAATTGCAATAGTGACTGACTTCCTTCCTTCCTTCCTTCCTTCCTTCCTTCCTTCCTTCCTTCCTTCCTTCCTTCCTTCCTTCCTTCCTTCCTTCCTTCCTTCCTTCCTTCCTTCCTCCCTCCCTCCCTCCCTCCCTCCCTCCCTCCCTCCCTCCCTCCCTCATTAATAGCTTGCTTGCCAGGAGTCAAATTTATATGAGCTCTTATTTGCCCACCAAGCTCAGAGAGCAACAAGGACCCCACAGTTCAGTCCTGAGCTACAAATATTCTCTTCTGTAATCTAATTGCCAACTCAAATGGAAAAGAGTTTCCAAGCTAAATCTTCATGAACAAATGTTAGTGCTTCCCTTGCTAATATCTTCAGAATTTAAATAAAATAGATTAGATTAGATTAGAATAGATTACCTTTATTGTCGTTTTTTCCTGTGGGCACAACGGCACACATTAAAAAATATAATTTAGTTGCTCACTCTCAAAGTGTACACATAGCACGCATTTAAAACATACTATATACAACCTATGGATAGACCTACACCCTTACATATAAGTAGCATATAAATATTAATCACTGTCCATCTTGAATACATAACGGAAGCTTTAGAGTTCACAAGGTTGATACTGTATATAAGAGCTGCCCTGTGCTCTTCAGCAAACTTCAGTATACTCCTCTATAGATGACACACTTTATTACATTGTAATGTTTTCAGAAGTCCAATTAATATGGTTACCCTCGATCATCCACAGAAGTGATGCTACACTGGGGTTCCTAGAGAAGCTTGAAATAGTTTCTGAAACTCTGCTGTCTGAGCTGAGATTTGAGTCCTCAGAAGAGTTGATCTTGAGTAGGCTGGATGCCACACATGGCTGGATAGGATGTGAAGTCATGCTCTAGTGAAGCCGCCAATATTTCTTGTTTAGTCACAACAGTGTTGTGTCTCCAAGCAGCTGGGCGATAAAAGCAGTCTATTTCAATGGCGTGCAGCTGGATGGGAGGCCAAACATCAGCACAAATGGAATGGCTTCCATATTATTTTCCTATCAAGTCTGATTGCTGGATTTCTCTCCAAGAGATGCTAGCATTTCTCACTGGTTATTTCAGTGCAAAAGTAGTGCAAGGCATTGTAGATTTTTATTTTCTCTTGTCTGTCATATTTTGTTTAGCCATGTACTGCTTGTTGTTATTCGTTGTGAAGTCGTGTCTGACCCATCGCGACCCCATGGACAAACTTCCTCCAGGCCTTCCTGTCCTCTACCATCTTCTGGAGTCCATTTAAGCTCCTGCCTACTGCTTCAGTGACTCCATCCAGCCATCTCATTCTCTGTCGTCCCCTTCTTCTATTGCCCTCCATCTTTCCCAGCATTAGACCCTTCTCCAGTGAGTCCTTCCTTCTCATTAGGTGGCCAAAGTATTTGAGTTTCAATTTCAGGATCTGGCCTTCTAAAGAGCAGTCGGGGTTGATCTCCTCTAGGACTGACCAGTTTGATCGCCTTGCAGTCCAGGGGACTTGCAGGAATCTTCCCCAGCACCATAGTTCAAAGGTTTCAATTCTTTGGCGCTCAGCCTTTCTTATGGTTCAACTTTCACAGCCATACATTGCAACTGGGAAAACCATGGCCTTGACTGTACGTACTTATGACAGTGGTCCTCAACCTTTTCTTCACCACGGACCCCCTTTAAATACCTTTTGTGGCCACGGACCACCAAGACTTAACTCGAAATTTAAATCACAACACTGCACACCCCAGGGGTCTGCAAACCACAGGCTGAGAACCACTGACTTATGAGATTAGTTGAAAATTCTGTTATATACTGTTTCTTTTATTGATCCAGGACCATATGATTTATCTCCTAGTGTGGCAGATGAAGCCTATCTTTTAGGCTCCAGCTTATGTCTGCATTGTGTTTTTGTGTGTGTGTTTAATCTGGTTACTCTCCTGCCTTCTTCCTTTACAAATCCATAACACTGAATTGCCTCTTTTAGCAATTTAATTTCTGTCGTTCAGCCTTGGAAGCAATACGAAACAGACACTGCAAAGCACAGATCTTTCTTTGTTTAATGGGATGGGTGCTGGAAGTCCTGAAGCAATTTAGATCTTTGCCATGTACTTTGAGGAATAGTTTTTCTTGCTTTTGAATTAATTGACAAAGTCAAAATCTAATTCTGGGTGGGGCAGGAGAGAGCTTGTCAGTGGCAAGGGAAGAAAAACACCAAAGAACTTGAAAGAGAGTCAACACATTGCTCTCTGCAGCTGGATGTTTGATCTGACTCAATCTTATTTGCCATCTTGGTCTCATCTCTAAGAGCTGAAACATTTGAATGTTGGTTAGTTCAGCATCCTGGCCCAGCATTGTAGGTGACTTGTTTCTTCAGATCTCAGGTTTCTGGCTCCTTCTCTTTCCTTTATTGTCCGGCGTTTCTCACCCTGATGCTCTCCAGATGCGAGGGGATTGCATTTTCCAAAATTCATCCCTAGCGTGACTATTCTCAGCCCTGGAAGTCTGGCATTTTAGAATTCGGCCTTTTGGTTACTGCCAAGAGTTCAATCCTAACTAGCTCAAGATTGACTCAACCTTCCCTCCTTCTGAGGTCAGTAAAATGAAGACCCAGATTGTAAGTGTGAGCTGAAATGGATTCCAGAAGATGGTAGAGGACAGGAAGGCCTAGAGGAACATTGTCCATGGGGTCACGATGGGTCGGACACGACTTCGCAACTAACAACAGCAATGCCAACCAGAGTTGGTTGTGGTATGGGTAGCTATATCAATGATATAACAAAGCTTGTGTTCCATGTTGCAATTGCACAGGTTGTCTGAATCAATGGGATGGTTGGCTGAAGAAGAGAGAGAAAAGCTTTGTCTTGAAGAGTTGTTGTTGGCAGCGACGATATCTTTGTCACCCTTTTCCTATTTGGATGTTATCTTAGTCTTATGAGCATGGAGTCATTTATCTTTGAACAGAATTAAGTTGGGCAGCTACAAATAGTTCCTCTCTGCTCCTTCCACTTGGATTCTTAATTCCAGCTACCCCTTTGCTTATGAAACCCCAATTATGGGGAACGTTGCCATCTTCGTTCTGAGAGCTTAAGGCAGTGTTTCTCAACCTTGACAATTTTAAGGCATGTGGACTTCAACTCCCAGAATTCCACAACCAGCAATGCTGGCTGTGGAATTCTGGGAGTTGAAATCCACATGCCTTAAAATTGTCAAGGTTGAGAAACACTGGCTTAAGGGCTCCAATTCCTGCTTCAGTTTTCCTCTTCAATAGTGAATGAATGGTTTTTTGCCATGTTACCGTACCAGGATTTTTTTCCCCAGCTGCCACTATCCAGCAAGCAGCTGTGAATTGTTCAAGTCTGTTTCTGGAGAAGAAAACGTCATTTGAATTCATTGATGTAATTAAAAATAGAGAGGAAGGAGGCAGAGGGTGAGGAATGTAGATTCATGCAAAAAGGGACCAAAGTAGTTGGCAGAGTAGCTTTTCCAGTAATTAATGAATGAGATGTCCAGTTTGGGTGTGGAGGGCAATGACTGCAATGGGGTACAAGAAAGGAGGAGAGGTGAAGCATTGATCTACCAATAAAACAATGGCGGTTTTGAAAAGAAGAAACCTTCAGAAGGAAGGGGAATTTGAGTTCCTATGTTCTGTATAATCCTTGTTTGGCTTGGTCTGCTGTGGGGACTACCGTCAGTGCAACCCAGATATTTCAGCCTTTTTGCCCAAAATGTTTGAAAGGATGGCATTCTCATCTTGACTGGTTTTGATAGTTCAACCAGGGTTGAATGTTCTGATGATCTATATCCCTACTTAGGAAAAAGCTAAAAGGAAGTAGTCCTCAACTGACAACTAACAATTGTAGCTAGATTGTAGTGCTCTGAAAGAAAGACACCCTGTGCTTGAGATTATATTTCATTCTCCCTTCCCTCCCAAAAAAAAGAACAGAAGGTGGGGGGGAGTATAAGCGTAGAAAAAAAAAATCAAAATTAAAATATCTTGTGCGGTACCCAGGCGTCTTTACCAAGTCAACCTAGAATTGCTGATTCCAGTTGAAATCAATTCTGGGAAATGATTTATGCCAGCATGAATATTTCACTTTATTAAGAATTCCCATTAGAATTGTGCATTGGCTGTATTTATTTATGTAATTAACAGTTTTTTCCTTAACACTGCCCATTCCTCTGTGAAGCGACATTTAAATGATGTAGTTTAACGAACATGACATGAACGTAGCCTTATTCTTGTCCCTTTGTTTGGAACTTGGCCTCCTGTGGCTTCTTCCAAAAGGGTTGAGCAACCCCTGAACGTCATCAAAGTCACACACCCTTGATGAAGATGCTGTAGCTGGAGATGGAAGGACATGGGAAAAGTAGAATGGAAATGTCTGATTTAGGTCAATTTTGTTTTGCAGGCCATGACTGTTGTGAGACGGTGAAGGTGTCTCTCTGTGCCACCAAGCAAGGCCACCCACTTCTGGTGGTGGCCGAGGAGAGCTTGCAGTTTGTCCAGGATGAAGCTTACGACGCGGCACAGTTCCTGGCATCGTGTGCCGGGAACCAGCAAGCGTTAAACTTTACACGTTTCCTGGACCGCTCCAGGCCACCTGCAGGGGACTTAGATTTTCTGGATGAGAAAGTAACTTTGGCGTTTCGTCACCTGAAACTGCCGACCGAGTGGAACGTGTTGGGAACAGACCCCAATCTCAATGGTAAGGTTTGGTAATGTTTTCTACATGCTGCAGATTGGATTATTACGGTGATCAGCAAAGCTTAGGAGCCTGTTCCCCACGTCATATTTTAAACAGACTAGACTGATTTCTCCCTGCAAAGTACAGGCTGTTGAATCTGTTTTCCATAAACCTGATTTATTCCATTAGGACCCTATTTGTCTGCCCAGATTAGCTTTCTAAGCAATTTGCATTGAAAAATGCCACGCCACATAAACAAATCTCAGTGAAAGGATTCTGTTATAGTTTTGTTTTGGTAGAGGTTATTTGTAGCATTTTTATCCTGTGAGTTAACCAAAATGACTATTGGGACAGTTCCTTCCTGAAAAAGAGAGAGAAAAAGCGAGAGAGAAAGCACCAACTTTTCGGTATGAAAATGTTGAATTAAATTAAATTCATCTGTGGAGATTCTTTGTCATCCAGGTGATGGTTGTCCCAAAGATGCTTTTTCAAAAGGCAACTGGACTTCCTTTGTTTTTCCTTGAAGACGTTTCATTTCTCATCCAAGAAGCTTCCTCAGTTCCATGCCCGACTACCACCACCACCACCACCACCACCATCATTGTCATCATCATCATCATCATCATCATCATTTAATGTATATTATAATTCTTGGAGGAGAAGTGAATCAAGAAAAAACAAAAAAAGTCCAGTTGCCTTTTGAAAAAGCGCCTTTGGTTCCTCATTCCTACTAAAATATCCATGGAGATACCTAGAAAAGGCCACTATTGAAATGAAATAGAGAATGCAGCCTTGGGGGCTAATTTTAGATATTAAGAATTTGAACCTCAGCTTCTTTCCTCTCTCTCTACCCCCCTGTGTCTTTATCAAGTGTTCTTTGTGGTCACGTTATGCTAGTTATTCTTTGACCAGTTGGTTTCTCTGTGGTTGCAATAGGCAGCTGGCTGCACAGTGTGACCATAATTTGTTTTTCCTTTCCAGATATTAGTAACCTTGCTATTTACTTTTGGGGTAAGTGGCATTATGCATAAATACATTCAACGACCAGGGTGACATCACCCATCCTTATCTTGCCCCCTTTACTCCCATTCTTGAAGCATTCCATTTATTCTCCTGCATCGTTTACTTAGCCTACATGCCACTCTTATCCTATTCAACCATCAACTTGGAATTTCATATTTGTGCAGTACATTCCAAACACACTATCAACAACTTTCTCACACTCATTCGCAAAATCTGATCTGCCTGGCACAAAGCTATGCTGCACTTCCCAAATTGTGCTCATTGTGATCGCTCGCGCCCTTTCAATCAGAATTTGGTGTTCTAGCCCAACCTCCACTCAAGCAGGACATCCTGTATCATTTCAGACAAAAGACTGTCCAATCTTTTCTTAAAAGCTTCCTGAGATGGAGAACTCACAACTCAGATGCACTCTGGTTCTTTTGCTACTGTTCTTTTTATTATTATTATTGTGGACACTGTCAAGATCCATTGTTGATTGGAGAGGCATATAAATCTTTTCTAAGCTTTTTCTCTTTAGAAAAGAAGCTTTATATTGATGTGGTTATGACTTGCAGAAATATTAGAAAAATGCCTATATTTAATAGTTACTTATCCAAATAATAAGAATTGCATTAATTCAAGGTTGGCAAAAGAGAACATTATTGGAAGAAGACCTCAAGCAAAGCTATTAGTGGACTATAGAATTATGGAAACTAATTGTTATTGATTGTTTTTTAAATATAAACCCAGACAACACACTGTTTACCAAACAGTAAGGTGAATATGTAAAAAAAATTAATAAAATGTATTTTTTTAAAAAAATAAATGCAATTAAATCAGTCAGTCGATCAATTATTCAGCCCTTTCTCCAAACATCTGTATTATTGCTTTAAGGCCAACTATGAGCAATATGTCCTTCTTAGCTGATACTGGGGTGAGGCTACAGCGCCTTCTTGCCAAAATTTAATCCAGACATATTTAGCACTGCAAGGTCCTGCAGCTCTTTTAACTCTGAAAGGCAGCTTAAGTTTATGCAGGAATAAATGTTACGTGAATCAAAGCAATAACAACATTGCTTTTCAACTGAGCATATATAGGCACAAACATGTTGATACCATTTAGAAATGTTATAGGAGGGGACCTATGCTGTTCCTCTCTGTGGTCACTCAGCTTGCCAGTTCTCTGCCCCAATTTTGTCTGCTTTTCATTTTTATACCTAAAATAGGGTTGACAGATTTAGGCCCGGGAAGAGAAGTTAACTCTCTCAAATGAATTGAGAGAATGAAATAAATACAAACTAAAAAGGAAGGATGAGAAATGCTTTCTAAGTTACTTATTACTCTTGACGAAATGCTGCTCAAAATGGCCAACGGGATTTAACGAGAATAGACTTGTCTTCCAAGAACAAATCAACAAAATGTTTTTAGCTGCAAATCGGTCACATGCGATGCTTTATATTTTCTTTTTAATTTTGTTTTTTAAAAAAACTACTGTTAATAGGGTTTCTGTGATCTAGAATGTTGAGCTTCTGCAGACAGCTCAATTTTGAATTTTTAGGATGGCAAGAGGCAGCTTCTAGTCCCTACGGCTTCAAGATGAGCACAGGTGAGTCACAATGGCTGAAATCACAGAAGCAGCTGGGGTGACTGAAGGTTTCCTGTGCTGTGTGACCTGCTCCCCTCCCTTCCTCCCAACTAGCAAAGCCAGGTTTCATGATGAAGTTAGAAGAAGTTTCAGAATGAAGTTAGAAGAAGAATTAATTGCTTTGAGAAGGAGGTAAATGGCAGACAGAGGGCACTGTTTGATATTGAACAGATCACCTTGCTATAGATGCTATGCTTCTGTAAAGGATGATGGAAATGAAGAATGACAATGGAAAGAAAATAAGAAGCCACCGTCTGATCATTCATGTACCCTCTGAGTTTGATTCAGTTGTCTTAGCTCGGTTGTCCCCATAGCTGGGGAAGTCCAGCCTCTTCTCACAGTTCACTGTGAACCCTGGCTGATGTGTCAACTCTCATGCTCTTAATGAGAGAGTGTCTGGTGGAAAGTTTCGAGACGTGATCTGAATATCAACCTGGAGGCTGAAGCCTTCTTCTTCTCCTCTCTGCTTTGGTTTCTCAGAAAATGTTCCCCGGGAGACGTTGTTGCATTTTGCAGCCAGACTCGGTTTGCTACGTCTGACGTGGTTCCTGTTGAAGCAACCAGGTGGCAGAAGCGCCGTGAGTGTTCCAAACAGTGAAGGAGCCACACCGGTGAGCTTAGCCTTGGAGAGGGGCTACCAGAAACTGCATCATATCCTGAACAAGTAAGGACCATTGATACCAATTAGAAGTTCAGCCTTTTGGCTTTGTGCATTTATCTCTTGCCTCTTATGTTGTTGTTAGTTGTGAAGTCGTGTCTGACTCATCGCGACCCCATGGACAACGTTCCTCCAGGCCTTCCTGTTCTCTACCATCTTCTGGAGTCCATTTAAGTTCACGCCTACTGCTTCAGTGACTCCATCCAGTCACCTCATTCTCCGTCGTCCCATTCTTCTATTGCCCTCCATCTTTCCCAGCATTAGGCTCTGCTCCAGTGAGTCCTTCCTTCTCGTTAGGTAGCCAAAGTACTTGAGTTTCAACTTCAGGATCTGGCTTTCTAAAGAGCAATCAGGGTTGATCTCCTCTTGGACTGAGTGGTTTGATCGCCTTGCAGTCCAGGGGACTCGCAGAAGTCTTCTCCAGCACCGTAGTTCAAAAGGTCTCAATTCTTGGCGCTCAGCCTTTCTTATGGTCCAACTTTCACAGCCATACATTGCAACTGGGAAAACCATGGCCTTGACTATAATGGCCTTTTATGATCATTCTCGGAGAAGAGTATCCTTGTTTATGATAACAACGGTACAGTTAGAAATAGAGATTCCAGAGACCGTGATTTTATATAAAATGCTGCATGTAGGAATCTTAAATCTAGAACGATGTTTATAAATACTATCCTGATGATCTTGCCATTGGTGGAGAACCTGGTTAGGTAGTAACAGGAATGGGAAATGTATCTCTCAGATTTCATGTTTGAATTTCATGTTGGATGTGGGATGGAAAATACTCAGTGGAGACATCACAGTATGTGTATTTCTTTGCTGTGGGGCATTCATCTCAGCACAGGCTGTTGTGTGTTGTGTCGCATCTCATGTATCCATTTCAAAATTGGTTCTCTTCCAAAGATGCTATTGTGAAAGTAGGAAATATATTGTCTTGGCTGTGAGAATAATTTTGCTCTGGTCAGTATTTGAATGGGGGAACCACTTGGGAAGGCTGTAGGCTAGACTGGAAGGTCATAAAACATGATGAAAGAAGGAGTTGAGAAGTTATTCATCATCATCATCATCTCAGAAGCTAAATATTTTGTCTTCTGTAGATTAGATCTATAAACTGACATTTGATTGCTTCTGCAGAGGTTCACCTAAAGGTTTGTTGGTAGCTCCTGCTCTATACTCTTCCCACCTCTATTATAGATACTTTCAGCTGGATATCATTTCTCAATTTCTAGAGTGCAACCCAAATGGTTTATTAATTGTTAATAATCGGCTCTCGCTAGGATGCAGCTGTCATGTGTCTGTCACGTGCAAAAGAAGGGAAATTCAGATCTTAGCATGATGTCATGTGTCTGATTAACGAAACACTTCAAAGAACTTTCAGGCATTTTTTTTAACCTATTACAGAGTGTCAGCACAGCATGGTAGATGCTAAGATCTGAATTTCCCTTCCTTTGCACATAACATTCCAGGCATTTCCCCTCCCCTATTTTGAGGTCATGATTCACATCTTCCAATTAGCTTGGAGGGCAAAGATTCACTTCCGTTTCTTTTTCCCGGGCTTTCCTTATATTCTTCTCCCCTTTCCCTGTCACCTGATTTAACTCTAAAAATACCAGACAGTTCTGCATATATTGTCAAAGCAAGAATATTCAATATTAGCAGCGCTGACAGCAGCGTGTTGTAGCAAATTCAAAATTTATGAATTTGAGAGTTTGGTTGCCCTTGTCTTTTCCAGAGAAGAAGCCAATGAACCAGATTCCTGGAGCACCTTGTCACATACAGTACATTCTGGGGACTCCTGCATCAAGTACCACCAAAGCTTAAACATTTACACTCTGACAGTGGAAATGAAGGAAGGGGACAAACTGAACATGGAGAAAGATATCATTCAACTCCAGCTGCACATCCAGAATCTCCAGCCTACGGTGAGGGAGAGGATCTGTCTTAGCTCATTGGTTTCACTGAATAATTCTGATTTGTCATGGTCTTGCTGCTTGATAAGTACCATGCTGTTATTTTAAAAAGTTGATAGGATTACAAGTTTGGCTTTGATTATAATAAGAAGACAGTTTATTGTGTTATTCTTTATAATCTCTTGAGAATAAGTTGCTTTGAGATAACATTCTGGTTCTGACAGCTGACCTAAATGCTCTCAGATACCACGATTGAGAATCCTTGATTGCTGTGTATATGGATCACATATGAACAGATTATTGAGATGGGGAGATGAATATGATGCTAGGAAAAGCATCTGGGAATGTTTAATGATTCCTGCTTGTTATTTTTGTGGTTGCACGATATGCATGTAAATAATACAATAATACAAGCCCTCAGGGGCTTACAGTCAAAATGCGTATACTGCAGGAAGTGACCCCCCCCCCAAATGGCAAGTGATTGAAGGCAAGTGATAATCAGCATGGGTCTAGGTTAATGGATGAATAGCCATCTGGGATCCCCATACACTGTCCCTCAAATTCAGTTAAAGGTCTCAGGGTGTAAATCATTAGAAAATAGAGATGGTATTGGAGAGGCCAAGGGCGAAAGAAGTAATTGTGAATGAAAGCAACTTAGTTTAACTACTGGAGTAAAAGAGCTAAAAATATAGAACTAAGACTGGAATGTCCCTGGTAACTTTTTAGTCCCATAGAATTCTAGGATCAGGATAGGAGGACGAAATTATGCTATGAGACATGCCAGAATAACAGAATGACAGAATTGGAAGGGATCTTGAATCAGGCAGGAAACTCTATACCATTTCAGACAAATGGTTGTCCAATCTCTTGTTGAAAATTTCTACCCAACAACGTCTGGAGGCAAATCATTTCACTGATAGATCTGTCAAGAAATTTCTGCTTAGTTCTAGGTTGCTTCTCTCCTAGATTAGTTTCTATCCATTGCTTCTTGTCCTGCCTTCAGGCGCTTTGGAGAATAGCTTGACACCACCCCCTGCTTCTTTGTGACATATTCTCCTCTTGGTTGCTCCAAGCCTTTATGTTTAAAAAGAAAGGGTTTGGTTTGATTTTCTGAAGACAAGTTGGACGGCAGACTGATCTAGAAGAAGCAGATGTTTGTGGAGTGGCTGGCTTGTCTAGGAATAACTTATGGGCCACCTAAGGCTTGTGGGCCAGAGATTTCATTAACTCCCTAAGCAGTACTTCAAGTTTTACCACATAGTCACCGTCTTCCCCTGAGACCTTCACCAAATGCTGGAAATAGCAAAGCAGAGCTTAGCTTGTAAGTTAAAATGTGGTTGAGTAGCTTTAGTTAAGTAGGTTGTAGCAACTTAGCTATGATCTTAATATGCTGTGTGAACCAGGTTATCATATTAAGCCCTGCCCTGAGTTATACGTTTGGATAGAGCATGCTACATGAACACTGCAGTTGTGTGTTATACTAATCTGGGTTCAGGGCACTGTGTGAATACAGTCTCGGTATATTTTTAAATTGTCGCTTAAGTGCCCCCATTGCTTGTGCACTGGCAGTGAAACAGAGCCAATGGTCTTTCAGATGAAAAGTCTTAGTTGGGTATTAACTGATAGCAAAGGCGCTGGAGGGAATACATCATGTGTCACCAGTCGGAAAAGCTATGTTTAGATGGTCTTCTATCAAGAGACCTGGTTTGTTTCACATCTAATCTAATTTCAGTTTAGTTCAGTCAGGGTCAGCTGAAAGAGGCTTCCTGGAGAAAGAAGAATCTGTCCATTTCAGTTTAGGGAACCAGAATGACTTCATTGAGAGGATGGCAGTAAAATCTTAATATTCTCTCCTCCTCCTCCCCCCCCATTTTCTCTCCTTCCTTCCTTCCTTCCTTCCCTTCTTCCCTTCCCCCAGTCACTTTGCGTTCCAGCACAAGTGTTTGTGTCTGGATCTGCTGCTGGCTGACTCCCAGCCAAAGTGTTTCCTTCTGGTTGTGCTGAAGTCTTCAGCAGCTTTCTTTATTTGAAGCTCAGCTGGGATTGAGGGGGTTTGGATGGATCAGGACTTTGTTTTTTTCTGAATATGTACATAAGAGGTCTTTGGCTCATGCCTAGCAAAATTGGCAGCCAATGGCCTTACAAAGGCACGGGACTTTCAGGCTAATGTCATCTGACCCTGGACCTCATTTCAAAATGCATGCAAGAGATCAGACTTCTGATTACAAAAAAAAATAAAATAAAAATAAATGACCCCTCCTGGGTTAATGTGGAGAGAGAAAGAGAGAGAGAGAGAGAGACAGACAGACAGACAGACAGACAGACAGACAGACACAGAGAGAGAGACAGTGAGAGAGAGAAATGAGGGAGGGAGGGAAGGAGGGAGGGAGAGAGCGAGAGAGAGAGAGAGAGAGAGAGAGAGAGAGAGAGAGAGAGAGAGAGAGAGAAAGTGTCAGAAAAAGGGAAGCAAAAGAAAGCTAGGGAAAACCGCCCCCCCCCAGCCATTCCCATCTAATTTTGAGGCAGTCAGTTTGCAATTCTAAGAATTCCCTGCCAGCATGGGAGATGCTGTCCCAATCCACTGGGAGACTACCTGGTCAGGTAAGGCTGGTCTAGTCTAGTCAATTATTAGTGGAATCTGTCTGAAGAATTCAGGTAAGGAGAATGCCCGAAGCCGAAAGCAACAGAACTTGCTTGGAATTGGCACAGAGGAAAAAGTGATTCAGGCTAAACTCAAGTGAAAAACCTCCTGTAAGAGAATAGGAGGGGGCCATTTTCAAAGCAGCTGCACCTTGGTTCTTCTCTGTGGCAGACCGAAAACGCAAAAGCAGCAAGGAACATGGGTGATGGGTGGGTGTATCTATACTGCGTCTCTTTTCCTCCTACCCAGATTGGCTCTCCAGCTGACAGTGCTGCAGAAGAAAGTAACTACCGAGGGGTTAAAAAAAATAAACCCAGATACAGCATCTTAATTTTGTCTTATATTTGGATTTTCAAAAGAAAAAAGTACATTGCAACTGCCTCCCCCACTTTTTTTAAATAATAATAATAAAACTGTTGTCCTCTTCTAGAACGTGAAGGAAGACCATTGTCCAGCGCAGACCTGGGAGTACCGTGGTTTGGATCCTGTGCTTGAGGGTCCTGAAGCTGCTGCAGACCCTGGTTTGGATGTATCGATGGTGGAAGCAACTCCAAAAGGTTCTTCTGATCCGCTGGAGATCTCACCCTCTGTCTGCCTTGGGGAGGAAGGCAGCTCCCAGCAACTCGAAGAGCTGACAGGCGCATCACAAGAGACGTTGAGGTTGGAGGAAATGCAGAACCAAAGGACTTCCTGTCAGGGCGAAACATTGCCACACAAAGCGGAAGGGGAGTGTTTCTCCTCCGTTGGAGACTCTGGGGCACCGTTGGAAGAAAATGATAGCAAGAGTACTTTTTGTGATGCCGCTGGCCTCCCCTTCTCGGAAAATACCAACAAGGAAGCTGGAATGACCTCCTCCAGTGCTACTTTGGAACAAGGGAACGTCTGTGAAGGACATAATCTCTTCCAGGAAGTGCAGCTGGCTGAATCAAGAGTAACGGAAAATACATCCCCAACTTCCTGTGAGGGCAGCAATGTAAGTATGGGACAAGGTGAATGCAAGAGCTGCACAGGGGCCATAGATGTTAATGTGACATCCCAACCGTATATGAAAAATGAGGAAATTGACATGGAGCCTTCCGGGACAACAGTTATGGCATCCTCTGTTGCATCACAAACCAATCCTGCTGCTTTCTTCCTTGGGGATGGTGACCCTACTGTCACCTGTAAAGATGAGAATGAGCCAACCTCAGTGCCAGAAGGTTCTGCAGATGTGGTGGCTAGTGCAGATGTTAGTTCTCTTGACAATGGAAGTAACAAAGAGATTGGAACAGAAAATCACATCAACAGTGGACCAAAGAACACTGTTACAAAACAATCAGAGGAGAAGGAGAAGGAGAACATTGCTCCAAACCCTGGAATAGAACCGTTGTCCAAAAACCTTATAGACACCTCTGGATTTTCTCTGGAGCATCCTTCTGCGATGGAAGTGAATGATGGAGGGCAATGGAGAGATGCAGATATGTCTATTGAAAACATTGCTATGGATTTGAGCAGCAAAGAGCTGAACGCTTCTCTAGAGGGCAGTGTGGAAAAACCCAGGAAGAGCCTAACATGTGTGCGGTCCCAGGCTGCCTGTGGTGGAGCTGAAATCCCAGAGACCTCGGCGATAGAGCAGAGTGAGCAAAAAGTAATTGATCTGACACCAATAGAGACCGAAGGAAACGCCGATCCTACCGTGGTTGGTCAGGGGTGTCTTGCTGAAGCCCAGGATGAGAAACAGGATTTGGGCGAAGACCGAGAGTTCAGTTCCTCTCTAGCGCACACAGATCCAGGTGACGGCCCTGAATCGCATCCAGATGTTTTCAACTCTTTTATGTCGCCCTGTGATCTCGAGAAGCCTCTTTGTGGACCGGCGGAGATGATAGGAAGCGAAGAGGAACCGGATCAATCTGGCGAAAGCCTCCGAAAACGCATAGCCCTGACATCAGCCTTGCTTGTGGAGAAAGTTATTCAGGAGGCTCAGTTGACTGTTACACAGAAGGGCAAGGCTACAGCAGCCTCTGTTGGCCAGGAAGCTTCTTCACAATTGGAGAGCCTTGCCCTATCTTTGCATGGTAAGGGCACTCCGTGTATTCAGGAGCATTTAATGGGCACACCCTCTGCTGCTTTTAATCAAGACTCCAAGCAAAACCAGGAAGTAGGAACAGCAATAACAGCAGAGGCAGCAGCAGCAGCAAAGCTGCTGACTGGAGCAGCTGAACAGGGAAGCCCGATGCAAGGTGAGCTGGCAGCCACGTCTCTTGCTCTGGTGGATGGCTGGGGAAAAGACCAGGAGCCCAGCTCTTCTCAGCTGCCTGAAAGTGAGAAGGAACTGCTTGGCAAGGAAAAGGCTTTGCTGGAGAGCTTCCCTCCAGGAGTCCTTGTGCAATCGGCTTCTGGTGATCTGGGGAGAGAGCACCCAATGGATGGAAGCCATGCCGAGCCTGGCTTAAAGGAGGAAGCCTCCAGTATGGAACAACTTGAGGAGCAAGTAAAGGTAGAGGCGGTCGGGGACGTTCCTCCAGAGCCTGGCTTGGCAAAGGGTGCCTCTCTTTGCAACAGGGGGACGCCTTCCCCTGAGGTCATGTTGAACCCGGGACTTGAGCTTGGTCCAGCTGGGCAAGCAGCCTCTCCAGCTGGCAGCACATTGGATGGGATGGAAGCTCCTCTGACGGCTCTGGAACTGGCCATGGAAACTGGCCTTTCACAGGAAGAGGGGGGAGTGGAAAACATCCCTTCCCGAATATTGCTTCAGCCAATTGCTGAAGAACTCCTTTGTGACTGCGATTCTGGTCCCGAAATGCCCTCGCTGGCTAGTGAGATGGACGTTACGAAGCTGGCAGAGTCAGAGAAAGAGAGTAGGAGGAGTAGCCAAGCTGAGCCAGAATCAATTCCCGTGCCTCTCTGCTCTTTTCCCGGGACTGAGCAGTTGGACAAAGTTGGAACGGAAGACTCTGCTCGGGAACCTGATTGTCTGTTGGGTAATGCTGACCCGATGCCTGGTCAAGTGATACTGCTGGCAGAAGCACATGTCTCTTTGGAATCTCTCGCTGGAAATCCCGTGGAAGTCCCCTGCTTGGTGGAAGCCATCTCCGAGGAGACTAGCTGTCTCCTTAGTGAAGTTAAAGAGGAGATAAATGTACAGCCTGATAGCAAAATGAACTCTGCAGCCCTGGAACTAACCAGCTCTTCACCTATTGCAGGTAAGCAAATGAAAAAAAAAAAAAGCATGATTCAGTTTTCTTCTCTAGGTCAGCAGAAGGGGGAGATGTGATTTGTGAATGACAAGTGAGGATAGTGTGGGTCTGTTTGCTGGAAGGATGCGATTAGCCAGGTGGGGAACAGAAAAGCACGCAAAATCCCTATTTCTTCCTTTTGCACAACTAAACTTCAGGCTGTCAGTTGCTTGAAGCACACATCTGCTTCCTTCCTGACCCTTTTCTTTTGACTCTTTCCCCTTTAAATTGTCATCAAGGTAGACAGTTCTGCCCTACAAAGCATCTGTTAAGAAGGAGATTGAATGATGTGTTGTATTCATGCAGGCTTCCTTCCAGAACAGGTGTTTATTTGTTGCGAGGTTTCCATGTTTCATGCTGGCTTGGCTTGGTCAGAGAAGACCACAGAGCTGTGGGTTAAATTTTTGCCTATCAGCTGCTCAAGTTCTAAAAGCGTCTTTTCAAGATGGCCCGGATCCAAATGTAGTTTGAGGTCACAGGAAAGCTAGACCTATTTCTTTAAAACTCAGTCCCCATTTCTGCTTTATGCAAAATCCTTCCTGAATAGGCTACCCACTCTCTCTCTCTCTCTCTCTCTCTCTCTCTCTGTGTGTGTGTGTGTGTGTGTGTGTGTGTGTGTATGTATGTGTATATATTTGCTGGGCTTCAAGCCTTTATTTCCGACTTGAGAAAACAAAGGCCTGGACGAAGGAGTTTGATTAGCGAGAGCAACGTTGACAAGCGAGGAACTGAAGGATCAAGACGGACCGGTTGGACTCCTTCTTTAAAACCATTTTGCCTCTTCTCTAACAGGAGTTGTTAGAGCATATTGTTTTGATTATTTTTTTATTTAAAGGTGAGAGCCAGGAAGGTGGTGAGGGAAATGAAGGAAGGGCCTCTCCCTCCCCCTTCCATCTGAGCTGTAAACCTAGAGGCATAATTGTTGGCAAGGCTTAATGATAGTTTAATGCAAGCTTTCATGGCTCCACCTGTTCAGACAGCTGGTTAAAAAGAAAAACAGCTGATCTCTCCCTGCTGCTATTATGGAGCTTGCCCTGAGGAATTGCAGGTGTGGCAGCTCTCTTCCTACCCCAGTTAGAAGTTTGATCCGCTGCAAATTAGTACCAGCAAATTTCTCCTAAGTTAAAACTGAAGGAACATGACAGATTGAACCAACTTGGTCTCTCTCTCTCTCTCTCTCTCTCTCTCTCTCTCTCTCTCTCTCTCTCTCTCTCTCTTTTAAAACACAATGTGAAAGATTCTGTCTTCCCATTCCCCCCCCCCAAAAAAAATAGTAATAAAATAAAAATTGCCTGCCCTATCATCCCAGGCTGAACTGCAAATAGAGGAAAAACTGGGAGCATTTGCTGCTTGGAAACTTAGCGGAGGCAGGGTGTGTACAAGATCCTTTTTTTTTCCACAGGAACAAAACTGGAAGGAGCACCCTACCGTCTTGAAAAAAAAAGATAAAAATAACAGCTGCTCTTTAGGCCTTGCTTGACAGGATTTGGCGTCCAGCAAACTCCATTTTATTTTTGTGCCATACGATGGCTTGATATGTCAATCTCACGGGGAGGTGGCTGTCATGCGATCCTCGGCAGTTCATTTCTCCTTTTGGGCTTAGGAGTGGCAGTCTCCTAAATTTATTCCCTCACCCCCTTTAAACTCTGGCTGTTGATTCTAAGCAAGCAGCATCGAGAAAGAAAGAAAGCAAAAGCCCAGCTGCACAACAGATGAACTGCCAACTTTTTTTTTAAAAAAAAAAAACCCACACGTTTTTAAAAACGCAATCTAGATTTTTCTGGGCGTCATCCAAAATGGGGGCCTGTTGGAGAAATCTTGCGTGGATTTTGTAGAGCGAGGGTGCCTTGAAAGAGGACATGTCCACCTAGGTCAGGGGTCTTCAAACCTGGCCCTTTTATGACTTGTGGACTTCAACACCCAGAATTCCTCAGCCTGGCTGAGGAATTCTGGGAGTTGAAGTCCACAAGTCATAAAAGGGCCAGGTTTGAAGACCCCTAATCCTAGATGGAGGTCTTTGCTGGAAGCTGCTTTGGCATCAAAAGTGCTTTGCTCTGAATATGTGGGGAAGCTAAAACCGAAGGCGCAGGGGAGGGGCTGGGAACGGGCACCTGTAATTAAGGTGCACTTCCTGCTTTGCACCTGCTACTAGCCGTGATGCTGAGACTGCGTAGTTTTAGGAAAGCTCCTGAGCAACTGGAGGAACAGGATTAAACTGGAGTCTCCACCGTGCCGGAACACGGCAAATGTGAGTGTTTCTGTCCACATGTACTTAGGTAGTAGAAATGGCCTCAAGGATCAAGAGAACTTGTGGGGAGCGCCAGGAGTCAGCCGAGAAAGGTGTGTGTATGTGGAGACCTCAAAGTGGGAGCGAGAAAGATATTGCTAAACTGTGCATGACTCGGCAAGAAAGAATGGTGTGAAATGGAAAATAAGTGAGCGGTTGGCTTGCATTGCCCACTGAGTCCGTCTCCCCTTCCTCTGTGATGTCAGATCGGAACCCCCACTTTTTCATTTGCTTGCGGTCCGGCTCTTTTGCCAAGCACGCCATTATTTATTCTGAGCTCAAGCCGAGCTTGTTCTTTCTTGCCAAGGCATGCTGTTCTCCCCTGCAACTTTGAGGAGACGTAGCCACTCTTGCACCACAACAAACACAAAACCATTTCTTTCCCCCCCTCAATTCTCCATTCATTCCCTTCTCTTTTGCTCTATTTTCCCAACTGTTGTTGTTGATGCTGTTGAAAGCTGTCAAAATGTTGTGCTGTGGGTCATCTAAAGTAGCTTCCCTCGCAAATCCCATCCCCTTTTTGCTACACACAGAGAAAAACAAGGTAGAAATGAAGCACCTACTTGTTCCAAACTCCCCAATGTTGGTTTGAAATTTAAACTGTTTGTGCTTATTAGGCCCCCAAATCTACCTCCCTTTGCTAGTTGTTTAATGTTTTCTAAATCGAGCAAGTTGGTGCAAGCTTTTTTGAGTGCTTTGCCGAAGATGGTTCACGTATATTAAGTAAAGCAATGTTGATCACATCACTAGCAAAGTTACTGTTGGCTGAAGTCTAACATGATAAGTGGAAACTAGAAAAACTCTTCCTCCATACAAAAACTTCTCTATTTTGGTTTCTTCAGAAATGATCTTCTAAACCCATGACCACTGCCAGACCAGAGGATCATCTAGACTGATGTTTTTGATTTCAGGTTTCTCCAGCTCCACCCACCTTGGTGCCCTCCAGATATGTTGGAGCTGCTGTTTCCAGAATGCCCAGCAAGAGAATGCTGGCTGAAGAATTCTAGGAATTGCATTTCCAACACATCTGGAAGACGCCCCTTTGGAATAGCCAGGTCCACTGGGCCTGGAAGAGGACTTCCATGTGAAATTCTTTTAAAATTGGAATGGGGTTGAGCATTGAGCATGACAAACAGAAGTTCTACAATTGAACTTATGGGGACATGATAGCAGTATTCCAGTATTTAAGAGGTTGCCACAAAGAGGAGGGGGGTCAACTTATTTACCAAAGCGCCTGAGGGCAGGACAAGAAACAATGGATGGAAACTAATCAAGGAGAGAAGCAACTTGGAATTAAGGAGAGACTTCTTAACAGTGAGGACAATTATCCAGTGGAACAGCTTGCCTTCAGAAGTTGTGGGTACTGCATCCCTGGAGGTTTTTAAGAAAAGATTGGACAGCCACTTGTCTGAAATGGTATAGGGTCTCCTGCTTAAGCAGGGGTTGGACTAGAAGACCTCCAAGGTCCCTTCCAGGTCTATTCTGATTGATTAATTGATTGATTGATTGAATTGGGATGAAGGGACACCAGCTATGTTGTTAAAACTGAGGCACTGGAGAAGTTATTAAAAAGACACACAAACATTTTTCTCTCTTTTTCTGCAGACTCTCTGGAAATGCAGACTAAAGAAGAAATGGATTTTCAGACAGATCTAGCTGAGAGCATTACTTCTGAAGAAGGGGTAAGGTTTTGTTTATTTCCCCGTCTCCCAACACTGAGCATTGGCTATTGATTGAGGAACAAAAACGCACATGGCCCCTTGCAAAGTTAATTTCCTTCTATTTCAATTTTTTTTTTTTTGGTCTTTAATCACGAGGAAGCAGATCTTCCTTTTTTAAATTTTCTCATTGGTTTTATTTTCCAAAATTATGGCTTTCTGAACCCTCTCGTTGTGTGCCTGGAGTCCCTTTCAGTAGCCTGATGGCTGGAAGATCGTTTGAGCTGGTTAATTCATGGTTTTGGACTTTTATGCAATCAGTTTGCAGGAAGAAGGACTGCCTTTCTGTTGTAGATGTGTGTTGTCACTGCTTGAGAAACTTCTTTGGTGTGTGTTAAATGAAGGACCCTCTCTCTGAACTTGGCAACTTCGAGATCTGAATTAAACATCAATGAATGAGCAAAAGATTGTTTCAACCTGCTCTGTGAATGAGATAGGCAATCTTTAAAATGAATAAATAAATAAATAAATAAATAAATAAATAAATAAATAAACATTTACCATTTGAGAAAGTTATCCCCCATTGGCTTGAAGGGTGAAAGGCAGTTCTAAGCATCTTGAATACAATTTCTAAGCATCCATGCAAATTGTTATTATTATTGATTGATAATGAACACTGAGAATTTGTAGTAGTTATCCATGAAAGAGGCCAAAGTCGTTCGGGAGAAATCTTCACCACCAGTAACTATCTTGCAGTTTTACTTAAGTTTGATGGGGTTGTCAAGAGGTAATGCTTTGTCGCACAGTCAGCCAGATGTTCAGACGGGGATTGGCATTTCTGTCTACCTAACCAGTCCTTTGCAAGGGCCTGAAAAGGTAGGTGTGGTGGTTTGATGGTGTTACAAGTATCATCGCAGGATGGAAGCTGTTCCCAGTAAACCCACCTTTTGCAATTGACTGATGGCGAATTTGTCAATGCTGATGGTGTTTAAGAGGTGCTCCAGTTGTTTTGGGATTGCACCCAAGGTGACTATTACTATTGGTGCTACCTTTGCTTTCTTCTACCACAGTCGTTCTATTTCTATTTGTAGGTCTTTGTATTTTGTTATCCTCTCCAGTTCTTTCTCTCCTATTCCGCTATCTCCAAGTAGTGGTGTTGCTACTAACACTATCCAGACTTTTTTGTCTTTCTTATTGACAATTGTTAAGTCTGGGTTGTTGTTATATTTATTTGCTGTCCATCTTGCAGTTTGCAGTGTCTGTGAGTGGCTTGGGTGGGTTTGGTACAGCAGGATTGACATGAGTCTATTTGCTGGGATTTGGGGCACCTGGTAGCAAGGATCTTTGAGCATTGGCCACAGTTAGACCCCTTATTCCTTTAGATATTTAGAAGGATAACAGTTCCTACAGTTGCTGATTTGGAAGGTGGTGGGGTAGTAATGGTGTTATTGTAGACATCTGAAATGAGAAGGAGGGAGGGAGGGAGGGAGGGAGGGAGGGAGGGAAGGAAGGAAGGAAGGAAGGAAGGAAGGAAGGAAGGAAGGAAGGAAGGAAGGAAGGAAGGAAGGAAGGAAGCAAGCAAGCAAGCAAGCAAGCAAGCAAGCAAGCAAACAAGTCAACTCTTCTGGGCTGATCAATGCCTGTATGGAGAAAATAGTGTGGAATATATAGGGCAGTGATGGCGAACCTTTTAGAGACCAAGTGCCCAAACTGCAACGCAAAACCCATTTATTTATCACAAAGTGCCAGGGCTGCATCAGCATTGTGGTGCCCTCAGGCGGGACGTGGGGGGCGTGGCCCACTGGGTGGGAATGGCTGCAGTGGTCACAGCAGACTGGGTGAGCATGGCCAGGGCCAGTTCCTTGTCATCTCAAAGGCATTCCTGGGAGGCCACTGCCGCTTGTTTGCTCACTTCCTGCCCTGTCGCTTCCAAACGTCATGTGCTCGCTACTCTGGTGAACTCTGCTGGGTCAACGGCACACGTGCCCACAGAGAGGGCTCTGAGTGCCGCCTCTGACACGCATGCCATAGGTTCACCACCATTGCACTAGCCCTAAGTAGAATTTTCCTCCTATGGGATTTTCACATCTATTGTACCAGGCAACATAGATAGGGCAGGCTAGAAAAGTCAGTGCTCTCCTAACCATACCCAAGCACTCTGAATTTGTTGGCGATGTCCATTTTGCTCTATGAGTTCATGGTGACCTAACCCTAACCCTAAGTGGAATTTTCCTCCTATGGGATTTTCCCATGTATTTTACCAGGAAACATAGATAGGGCAGGATAGAAACATCAGTGCCCTCCTAACCATACCCAAGCGCTCCGAATTTGTTGGCGACGTCCATTTTGCTGTATGAGTTCATGGTGACCTAACCCTAACCCTAAGTGGAATTTTCCTCCTATGGGATTTTCCCATGTATTTTACCAGGAAACATAGATAGGGCAGGATAGAAACATCAGTGCCCTCCTAACCATACCCAAGTACTCCGAATTTGTTGGTGACGTCCATTTTGCTGTATGAGTTCATGGTGACCTAACCCTAACCCTAAGTGGAATTTTCCTCCTATGGAATTTTCCCATGTATTTTACCAGGAAACATAGATAGGGCAGGATAGAAACGTCAGTGCCCTCCTAACCATACCCAAGCGCTCTGAATTTGTTGGCGACGTCCATTTTGCTGTATGAGTTCATGGTGACCTAACCCTAACCCTAAGTGGAATTTTCCTCCTATGGGATTTTCCCATGTATTTTACCAGGAAACATAGATAGGGCAGGCTAGAAAAGTCTGTGCCCTCCTAACCATACCCAATCACTCCGAGTTTGTTGGCGACGTCCATTTTGCTCTATGAGTTCAAGGTGACCTAACCCTAACCCTAAGTGGAATTTTCCTCCTATGGGATTTTCCCATGTATTTTACCAGGCAACATATATAGGGCAGGCTAGAAAAGTCAGTGCCCTCCTAACCATACCCAAGCACTCCGAATTTGTTGGTGACGTCCATTTTGCTGTATGAGTTCATGGTGACCTAACCCTAACCCTAAGTGGAATTTTCCTCCTATGGGATTTTCCCATGTATTTTACCAGGAAACATAGATAGGGCAGGATAGAAACGTCAGTGCCCTCCTAACCATACCCAAGCGCTCTGAATTTGTTGGCGACGTCCATTTTGCTGTATGAGTTCATGGTGACCTAACCCTAAGTGGAATTTTCCTCCTATGGGATTTTCCCATGTATTTTACCAGGCAACATATATAGGGCAGGCTAGAAAAGTCAGTGCCCTCCTAACCATACCCAAGCACTCCGAATTTGTTGGTGATGTCCATTTTTGCTGTATGAGTTCATGGTGACCTAACCCTAACCCTAACCCTATAGGATTTTCCCATGTATTTTACCAGGAAACATATATAGGGCAGGATAGAAAAGTCAGTGCCCTCCTAACCATACCCAAGCGCTCCGAATTTGTTGGCGACGTCCATTTGCTGTATGAGTCATGTGACCTAACCTAACCCTAAGTGGAATTTTCCTCCTATGGGATTTTCCCATGTATTTACCAGGAAACATAGATAGGGCAGGATAGAACATCAGTGCCCTCCTAACCATACCCAAGCGCTCCGAATTTGTTGGCGACGTCCATTTTGCTGTATGAGTTCATGGTGACCTAACCTAACCCTAAGTGGAATTTTCCTCCTATGGATTTTCCCATGTATTTTACCAGGAAACATAGATAGGCAGGATAGAAAACATCAGTGCCTCCTAACCATACCCAAGCACTCCGAATTTGTTGGTGACGTCCATTTTGCTGTATGAGTTCATGGTGACCTAACCCTAACCCTAAGTGGAATTTTCCTCCTATGGAATTTTCCCATGTATTTTACCAGGAAACATAGATAGGGCAGGATAGAAACATCAGTGCCCTCCTAACCATACCCAAGCACTCCGAATTTGTTGGCGACGTCCATTTTGCTGTATGAGTTCATGGTGACCTAACCCTAACCCTAAGTGGAATTTTCCTCCTATGGGATTTTCCCATGTATTTTACCAGGAAACATAAATAGGGCAGGCTAGAAAAGTCAGTGCCCTCCTAACCATACCCAAGCACTCTGAGTTTGTTGGCGACGTCCATTTTGCTGTATGAGTTCATGGTGACCTAACCCTAACCCTAAGTGGAATTTTCCTCCTATGGGATTTTCCCATGTATTTTACCAGGCAACATATATAGGGCAGGCTAGAAAAGTCAGTGCCCTCCTAACCATACCCAAGCACTCCGAATTTGTTGGTGACGTCCATTTTGCTGTATGAGGTCATGGTGGTGACCTAACCCTAACCCTAAGTGGAATTTTCCTCCTATGGGATTTTCCCATGTATTTTACCAGGCAACATATATAGGGCAGCTAGAAAATCAGTGCCCTCCTAACCATACCCAAGCACTCCGAATTTGTTGGTGACGTCCATTTTGCTGTATGAGTTCATGGTGACCTAACCCTAACCCTAAGTGGAATTTTCCTCCTATGGGATTTTCCCATGTATTTTACCAGGAAACATATATAGGGCAGGATAGAAAATGTCAGTGCCCTCCTAAACCATACCCAAGCGCTCTGAATTTGTTGGCGACGTCCATTTTGCTGTATGAGTTCATGGTGACCTAACCCTAACCCTAAGTGGAATTTTCCTCCTATGGGATTTTCCCATGTATTTTACCAGGAAACATAGATAGGGCAGGCTAGAAACGTCAGTGCCCTCCTAACCATACTCAAGTGCTCCGAATTTGTTGGTGACATCCATTTTTCTGTATGAGTTCATGGTGACCTAACCCTAACCCTAAGTGGAATTTTCCTCCTATGGGATTTTCCCATGTATTTTACCAGGAAACATAGATAGGGCAGGATAGAAACGTCAGTGCCCTCCTAACCATACCCAAGCGCTCTGAATTTGTTGGTGATGTCCATTTTTCTCTATGAGTTCATGTTGACCTAACCCTAACTGGAATTTTCCTCCTATGGGATTTTTTCATCTATTGTACTAGG